CATCCATATAAGGAGAATCTCACTAAATAGCACAAGGGTATCTCCATAAATACTTCAGTCTCATTCATGTATGGAGAATCTCACTGCAAAGCACATGGATATCTCCATAAATACCTCTGTCTCCTCCATATTAGGAGAATCTCACTAAACAGCACAAGAATATCTCCATAAATACTTGTCTCATCCATATAACGAGAATGTCACTAAACAGCACATGAATTTCTCCATAAATACCTTAGTCTCATCTATATAAGGAGAATCTCACTACATAGCGCATGGATATCTCCATAAATACTTCAGTCTCACTCATGTAAGGAGAATCTCACTACATAGCACATGGATATTTCTAGAAATGCTTCAATGTCATCCATGTAAGGAGAATCTTGGGTAAAGTGCACAGATTCTGTAGAATTGGTGAACAGTTTCCATATCGGCAACAAGAATATAAATAACATGTATGTAGACCAGAATCACTCACACACACACTGTAAATATTTTTCTCTCTCTCTCTCTATTGTTGTTGGTAGCTGTTATTATTTGGAAGCATTACCTGGGCAGCAAAGAGATTTCTGAGACAGACTGCAGGAGTGACAAGAGGTAAAATCAGAAATAAGGATATGAGAGCGAAAGTTGGCACAGAATCAATTCTAAATGATAATAAAATGACAGCAAATCAAATAGTTTGCCCATTTAGAGAGAATGGCCTGTGACGCCATACTAAACAATGCATACGTTTACTTCATAGGGAGCTTAATATTCTATGTAAACCTGCAAGAAGTTGACATCAGAAGGAAACCAGGTTTCCTTGAACCATAGACAGCTGTAACCTCTTCTTTACTACGAAAAGGTTCCTCAAAGATCTGAGATGAATCAAGCTGTGAACTCTTGCAAAAAAAGGAACTCTACTTTGATCCAAGGGTAGTGGATCCAGTACCTAGTTTTCTTAGATAATTGTGAACAAAAAATATGAGAACCTGTGCTTGGACACGTTAACAGTTCTGTGACACATGAAAATATGATTAGACCACTACTCAAGCTAAATCTTAAAATGAAAACAAATAACTTGAAAACAAAATGCTTGTCAGCCCAGTGATCATGTGTAAGGAACCTCATCCAGGTGGATGAACAACCAGGACTTTCCACCGGAGCTTACAGCTGGTGAACAAAGAAGAAGAAGCAGATCACCACCCTTGTATATCTTATCTCTGATACAGTTTTGCAGTCAAAGAAGCCAACGTCGCCTTCTCCATGACGACCATCAACATGACGATGAAGATGATGGCAGTGACGCAAGCATTCGCCTGGCTCGAAACAAAAAAATACACCCGCGTATGTATACTCAGTGATTAAATGAATATAATCCAGAGGGTTCAGGCAGGTTCGGAGCGAAGACAATGGCTTAAATCATTACAGAAATCCACTGTGCGTAGAGCCACCTTTATTTTTGTTCCGGGACACGAGGGAAATGAAAGAGCTGATAGGTTGGCTGGATCCACTATCACTACGGACGGTCAGCCTATTGATCATGCTGATATTATTAATGCCCTCAGAGAAATGGGAAGAATAGAGGACTTTGGGGGCAGTGAATCCACATCACTTGCCAGAATTGCAGACTTGGGAATTAAGACGCACACCGGAAGACTTGTTAATCAACACAGAACTGGTACTATTAGCCATCGGACGTTGGGGTTCATACTGAGAGGAGGTTCTGAGCACCTGTGGACATGTCCGGAGCTCAATGATGATAACCCAACTAACTAACATATTTGCTATTAGTTAATGCATTTTTCCTTAGAAATGCATAGGACTTGTGTGAACAGTGCTAATAATTGATTTATGATATTTTTTTTGGTATTAAAGGAACAGTTGAGTCTGCACAGTTGAGAGAGTATCTGACTGGGCCAGGAATGGACATTGAGGTGCATGATCGAGACAGAAAACCAGAACTTGTGACCATGAAACCGACATTGTTCGGAGATGACTTTGAAGATGAAAAGATATCTCATGTCGGAACAGTTGAGAGTAAGTTCCATTTTGTTATTTTGTCAATTTAAAAAAAAAAATTTTTAAACTTGTTTTACACTTTAGGTAGATAAATGATTGAGAGATTTGAATTTGAAAAGTAGTTCAGAGTCATATCTGATCATTGAGTGGATTTCTGGGGCCCCATTTTGTGGGGGAGGGGAGGGGGAATAGACCCACTGCCCCTAAACTCTTTCAGGCCCATTAATTTTTACAGACTTGGCTCTCATAAATATTCCTTCACACAACACTTAATTCTTTCAGTCACACAGGGTCCTAGCTGATATCTGAGGCTGACTTAACTCTTTCAGTCACACAAGCTTCTAGCTCAGTGGCTCTCAACCTTCCTAATGCCGTGACCCTTTAATACAGTTCCTCGTGTTGTAGCGACCCCCAAACATACAATTTTTTTCGTTACTACCTTATAGCTTCAGTGAATATTTGTTTTCCCAGGGTCTTAGACTCGCGATCCATAGATTGAGAACCGCTGTCCTAGCTAATTTCTAAGGCTGGCTTAACTCTTACAGTCCCACAAGCTCCTAGCTAATGTCTGAGGCTGATTTAACTCTTTTAGTCAAACAAGCTGCTAGCTAACATATGAGGCTGATTCAACTCTTTCAGTCACACAAGCTGCTAGCTAACTTCTGAGGCTGATTCAACTCTTACAGTTACACAAGCTGCTAGCTAACGTCTGAGCTGATTTAACTCTTTCAATCACACAAGCTCCAAGCTTCTTCTTCTTCACGTTCACCGCCTGTAAACTCTGGCGGAAAGTTCTGGTTGTTCATCCACTTTTGGACTGCAGTCATGTTCGAGAACCTGAGTGTTGCGTGTGCATCAGTTTTAAAGATCTGATTCATTTGTATGCAGACTGCAGGTTCTTTGCCACTCAGACAGATGCACTTCAAAGGAAGCTCTCAATTAGTTGACTCTTACGACATGCTTTTGTCTAGGCAGTGGGTTTATTCCCCCTCCCTCCCCCCCATAATAGGCCCTGGAACCCACACGGGGAGCTCCTAGCTAATGTTTGAGGCTGACTTAACTCTTTTAGTCACACAAGCTCCTAGCTAATGTTTGAGGCTGACTTAACTTTTTCAGTCACACAAGCTCCTAGCTAGTGTTTGAGGCTGACTCAACTCTTTTGGTCACACAAGTTCCTACTAATCTCTAAGGCTGACTTAACTCTTCTAGTCACACAAGCTCCTAGCTAATGTTTGAGGCTGACTTAACTCTTTCAGTCACACAAGGTCCTAGCTAATGTCTGAGGCTGACCTAACTCTTTCAATCACACATTTTCTTAGCTAATGTCTGAGGCTGACCTAACTCTTTCAGTCACACAAGGTCCTAGCTAATGTTTGAGGCTGACTTAACTCTTTCAGTCACACAAGGTCCTAGCTAATGTCTGAGGCTGACTTAACTCTTTCAGTCACACATTTTCTTAGCTAATGTCTGAGGCTGACTTAACTCTTTCAGTCACACAAGGTCCTAGCTAATGTCTGAGGCTGACCTCTTTCAGTCACACATTTTCCTAGCTAATGTCTGAGGCTGACCTAACTCTTTCAGTCACACAAGGTTCTAGCTAATGTCTGAGGCTGACTTAACTCTTTCAGTCACACATTTTCCTAGCTATTGTCTGAGGCTGACTGAACTCTTTCAGTCACACATTTTCCTAGCTATTGTCTGAGGCTGACCTAACTCTTTCAGTCACACATTTTCCTAGCTAATGTCTGAGGCTGACCTAACTCTTTCAGTCACACATTTTCTTAGCTAATGTCTGAGGCTGACCTAACTCTTTCAGACACACATTTTCCTAGCTATTGTCTGAGGCTGACCTAACTCTTTCAGTCACACAAGGTCCTAGCTAATGTCTGAGGCTGACCTAACTCTCTCAGTCACACAAGGTCCTAGCTAATGTCTGAGGGCTCTGAGAATGTCAGTACTAATCGTATGGGTATGCTACTTCCAGAGGGGCCAAATATACAAGCCTTGCAGGAAACACATTTGTACTGCAGAGTTGTTCACGAGTCGCTCACTAAAAATAAGATGTAAAAATGTAAATCTTCTTCTGCCTTTCTGTCTGCCATTGGAGCAGCATAGGCTCTCAGCCAACTCACGCTAAGTCATTCTATCCTTCTTTATCGCATGCAGCTCTCCCCATGTCCTTCCCATCTTTCTTAATTCATTCTCTAACTCCCTTCTCCATATGTTCTTTGGCCTTCCTTTATCCCTATGCCCCTGTGGGTTCCAATGCAAAGACATTCTAGTTATTCTGTTCTCTGGTTTTCTCAATGTGTGTCCTATCCAACGAAATGTGTGTCCTATCCAACGCCATCGTCTTTTCTTCACCTCTTGGTCTACTAGAACTTGTTTAGTTCTCTCACAAAGCTCTAAATTAGTGATGCTATCATACCATTCACTTCTCTCTGTTCTGCGCATGCCCCAGTTAATGAATGTTTGTAGTTTATTAGTAATTGCCTCAGTTGTTTTCTGTGTTTTCTCTTTATACAGCAGTACTGATTTGACAGTAGATTTACAAATTTTAAGTTTTTAAAAACAAATTTGACTGACTGACTGACTTTCTACTCCACCAGGACATCACACGAGCGATATAAACACCCGATGACACAACGTGCCACCATGCGGATGAGGATCGCGGTGGTGAGGTCCCAGAAACCGCGTTCAAACATTTGGCCATATTTATGGCCTGCCTATATTGGGACCCCCGGCAAAAGCCAGGGTGGAGCTTCAAATAAAAAAATTTATCCTGAAAAGGACGATAGAGAATGTAGACAAAATATATATATGTAACTTTTGATGGTTTTAGAAAAACAAATGTACATAACATGCACAAAAAACCCAATCACGCATTGTGTATTCTTTATGACTCAAATAGTTGAACTTTTAACTTTAGGTTGAGAATGGATGATGAGCATGGGGAAGATGATAATAATACACACAAAAGCATTTTCTTTCCATAGGTCGAAGGACACTGTATAACCCCTTCCACAAGAGAGACAAACCATGGGATCCTTACGGAGTAGCCAAAGTGGACTTTTCTGACCTCCTCTTGGGGGTCCGTCTACTAGAGCTGCAAATTCCCATCATTAATTGTCAAACCCCAGACATCCTGGGGATCTCTCCCAGTTCTTCCGGAAGACTTTTAGGAATATCTGGTGCTGTTGATGGACCTGGTATGTAGTGTTGTGTCGTATTGGGTACAAGCTTTAGACTTGATTAGCTGGAGATCAGTAATTATAATGAATAGTGCAATTTTTCTTTGTCAGATAAGACAAGAGAGAGAATTCTTATGAGCTGTGTGAATCCCATCCTGATATACAGAAGTGAACCTTGGACAGTTTGGTTGATTAGTGAAAAATTATGTGGCAGCAGCGGAGATGTTTTATAGATGAATGATGAGACAATCTGGATAAAAAGAGTAATGAAGATGTCTTGAAAGAAACTGACTCATGAAGAGAACTGACTGACTGCATCAGAAGGAGACAAACTTGATTGCATCAGAAGGAGAGAAACTATATACTTTGGTCATGTTATGAGAATTTGAAACCAGAGTATATCGTGATAGTGGGAAAGTTGGAGGGGAAGAGTGGCAGAGGGAGACCTAGAGAGAAAATACTGGATAGTTTAACATCATGGCAGGGAAGATTATCTGTGTCATAATTGACTGAAAGTACACAAGACAGATGCTTGTAAATAGACATGCCTTTCAATGTCACAAGATATATAAGATCATGTGTGTGAAAGTACACAAGACAGATGCTTGTAAATAGACATGCCTTTCAATGTCACAAGGTATAGAAGATCATGTGTGTGAAAGTACACAAGACAGATGCTTGTAAATAGACATGCCTTTCAATGTCACAAGGTATAGAAGATCATGTGTGTGAAAGTACACAAGACAGATGTTTGTAAATAGACATGCCTTTCAATGTCACAGGGTATAGAAGATCATGTGTGTGAAAGTACACAAGACAGATGCTTGTAAATAGACATGCCTTTTAATGTCACAAGGTATAGAAGATCATGTGTGTGAAAGTACACAAGACAGATGCTTGTAAATAGACATGCCTTTCAATGTCACAAGGTATAGAAGATCATGTGTGTGAAAGTACACAAGACAGATGCTTGTAAATAGACATGCCTTTCAATGTCACAAGGTATAGAAGATCATGTGTGTGAAAGTACACAAGACAGATGTTTGTAAATAGACATGCCTTTTAATGTCACAGGGTATAGAAGATCATGTGTGTGAAAGTACACAAGACAGATGCTTGTAAATAGACATGCCTTTTAATGTCACAAGGTATAGAAGATCATGTGTGTGAAAGTACACAAGACAGATGCTTGTAAATAGACATGCCTTTCAATGTCACAAGGTATAGAAGATCATGTGTGTGAAAGTACACAAGACAGATGTTTGTAAATAGACATGCCTTTCAATGTCACAAGGTATAGAAGATCATGTGTGTGAAAGTACACAAGACAGATGCTTGTAAATAGACATGCCTTTCAATGTCACAGGGTATAGAAGATCATGTGTGTGAAAGTACACAAGACAGATGTTTGTAAATAGACATGCCTTTCAATGTCACAGGGTATGGAAGATCATGTGTGTCAGAATTGATTGAAAGTACTCAAGACAGAAGGTTGTGGATAGACATAAAAAGAAAAATGTATTGAAGACACGAAGAACAGATCAAGCGGATGTAACACTAGAGACAACAGAAGTTAAAGTAACAGATCAGTTTACTTATTTAGGTAGTAATTTTTATAGTGAAGGAAATTCAAAGAAAGAAGTTATAACACAACTTTTAAAAGCCTGAACAAAATCTGGAACTCTAAATTGTACAGTTTTAAAATCAAGCTGTGTATTTTCAATTCTAATGTTATTTCAATTTTAACATATGCCAGTGAAATTTGGAGATGTGGAATGAAAGTTAAATACATTTTTAAAAAATATCTGAGGGAAATGTTGAACATAAAATGGGATGAATTAAAAAGGAGTGAATAAATAAGAGAAATACGAGTATTGAACCAGATGATAGTTGGTGCCATCAGTATGTAGACATTTGCTGGTTGTTAAGAAGGTGAAGTTAATGTGGGCTTGTCCTGGTCGAATCTTTACCCTCTTGCCTCTTGTTATTTTCTTAGTATGATACTTTCACATGTAAACAAATGTAAGTTGATATTAACTTGTATGTTCTTTTTCTGCTTCTTCTTCTTTGTTCACCAGCTGCAAGCTCCTGTGGAAAGTCCTGGTTGTTTGTCAGTTTGGACTTTAGTTTTGTGCCAGGGCCTGAGTTTTGCATTTACATCCATTCTATTGGCTTATTTGTGTTGTTGATTGGTCCTTGTCACTCAGGCACGTGCGGGAAGTATGTTCTTTGACTTGATGGCTTGTTTATATGCACATTCCCAGTTGACCAGCCACTGAGTTCTGGCCACTACATCCAGGAGAATGCCATGCTGAAGGTTAAGATTCAGCTAGCTCATCCATTGAACACACCAACCAGTCTCCTTTCTAAAGACTACATTGCATATTCCATAGAGGTAAATCTTGATTGATTAGTCTCTATAAAATATCTGTATACATTCAGTTCTGATATCATCTACTATAGACTAGATTGACTTGAAAGATCACTGGTAGAAGAGGCAGAGGCAGACCAAAAGAAATTTTGGTGGATAGCTTAAGACAGTGGCATGCAGGAATATCATAATTTGAATTTATCCAGAACACCAAAGACTGAGATATGTGGAGATGCATGAATGCCTACACCAGCTGGCAAAGCACTTGATGATGTTGATTTTCAGAGGTCGTCCCGGCTATGGGGCAGTAAAAGATTATGATGATAAATCAACAGGTCTGTATGAAGCAACCCATAACTGAGCTCAGGGCCAGTGCAGACAAGCAGAAACACGGAATGGTTCGTGGTATGTGAACTAGGCTTAGTGGGACCCAGCGCCTCGGACATCATGGGGTACAGCTAGTCAGCACTGAACCTCAAGCTGTACAAAACAACTGCGCGAGAGCAGATCGGGAGATTCGGCTGGGCATCTGTGTGACATGAACGTCGTTAGACCAGACTGTTAGAATGTAGTATTTCAATGACACATTGTAGAAATGTGTCATGTATTAGATTTTAGCTGTAATTCATACAGTCCGTTGTCCGACTGAGTGTGTTATTACGTTACGGTGTATGTAGATAGGAATTGTCCCACTTAGATCTTTTAGAACAGATAGATTGTTGAGAGCATTGGTAGACAGCGGCTCTAGACAGTATTGTACGGGAGAAAGGTAGGTGTGAGCTCAGAGCTTATTTAATGAAATGTGTAGCGATTGTAAAATAAGAGCGGCCTGGTTTCAGATAAGAAGCCCTACTGCTCCTGAGACCAACTGTATGAGTTTGTACTCTTTCATATTAAAAATTGTGTGTGTGTGTGTGGTGTGTGTGTGTTGTTGTGTGTTGTGTGTGTGTGTGTCACTGTGTGTGTGTTGTGTGTGTGGAAGTGTGTTGTTTGTGTTGTGTGTGTGTGCTTGTGTGTGTGTGTGTGTGTGTGTGTGTGTGTGTGTGTGTGTGTGTGTGTGAGTTGTGGTGTGTACATCCAGGAGAATGCCATGCTGTGTGGTGAAGATTCAGCTGTGTCATCCATTGAACACACCAACCAGCCTCCTTTCTAAAGACTACATTGTGTGTGTATTGTGTGTGTAGAGGTGTAAATCTTGATGTGATTGTGTGTCTCTATAAAATATCTGTATACATGTCAGTTCTGATATGTGTCTACTATGTACTAGATTGACTTGAAAGATCACTGGTAGAAGTGTGCAGAGGCAGACCAAAAGAAATGATGGTGGATAGCTTAAGACAGTGGCATGCAGGAATATGTGTAATTTGAATTTGTCCAGAACACCTAAGACTGAGATATGTGGAGATGCATGAATGCCTACACCAGCTGGCAAAGTGTGTGTGATGATGATGATTGTCAGAGGTCGTGTGTGGCTATGGGGCAGTAAAAGTTATGATGATAAATGTGTGTGTGTGTCTGTATGAAGCAACCCATAACTGAGCTGTGGGCCAGTGCAGACAAGTGTGTGTGGGTGTGTGTGTGTGTGGTGTGTGTGTGTGGAATGTGTGTCGTGGTGTGTGTGAACTGTGGCTTAGTGGGACCCAGCGCCTCGTGACATGTGTGGGGTACAGCTAGTCAGCACTGTGTGTCAAGCTGGTGTGTGTGGTGTGCGCGAGAGCAGATCGGGTGATTCGGCTGGGCATCTGTGTGACATGAACGTCGTTAGACCAGACTGTAGAATGTAGTATTTCATTGACACATTGTAGAAATGTGTCATGTATTAGTGTTTAGCTGTAATTCATACAGTCCATTGTCCGACTGTGTGTGTGTTATGTACGTTAGGGTGTAGATAGGAATTGTCCCACTGTAGATCTGTTTAGAACAGATAGATTGATGTGGAGTGTGTGGTAGTGTGCGGCTCTAGACAGTATTGTGTGTGGGAGAAAGGTAGGTGTGAGCTCAGAGCTTATTTAATGAAATGTGTAGCGATTGTAAAATAAGAGCGGCCTGGTTTCAAATAAGGAGCCCTACTGCTCCTGAGACCAACTGTATGAGTTTGTACTCTTTCATATTAAAGATTGTGTGTGTGTGTGTGTTCCACAGGCATTCAGGTTGGTGTGTTCTTTAGCAGATTTATCTGTCACCGGCTTGCAACGCAGCCATAGATTAACACCTTAGACCAGCAGGTCTTTGATGGTGATCGATAATTAGATCCATACCACTCTCTTTTCTGTTTACCATTTCTCTTTCTTGTTTAGAAATCTAGGCATAATTAGAACAAATCCCAGCAACTATATTAAGACTTAGACTTTGTTAAGGAAGTTTACCGGTACCATCAATATTGGAACTCTGCGCTGGCTGAGGAAGATGAGGATGAAGCATGCATGGTAATGTCCCGAGTGCTGTGATGTCAATTCTTGACTCACTCAACTCAACTAAGGAAGTTTGCTATTACTGCTGATGTTATTATCATTATTAATACTGCAATTATTATCTGTTTATTGATGTGTGAATAGAAGAAGGTTTGAAAGGAATGAGGTCAAAAGGGCAGAATGTAAGATGGGCCTGCCTGACCAATTATTTACCCCTTGAAAATTATTTACTTGTTTGTTGGTTTACTTTCTGTCATTTGTAACACTTCCTGTCCAGTATGGCAGGAAAGACTGTTTTATTTAGTCTTAGCAGGTTATTGCTTCTGGCCATGGTTAGTTGTTGCATATTTCCTCGTGTGTGGACTGAAAGTATATCGTTCCATCACTCAGCTACTGAATTGAGTTTATGGTGTGAATTACATGGCTGCAGATGTTATTTGGTAGTTTGTGATTTAAACTGCAGAGAAAATGGTGAATGTCCTTTTGACCCAGAACTGGTGGTGCCTTGGGGAATATTGCATGTGCAACTTCTGAATTGTAGTAACTGCTGCTTTCATCAACAGCAGTCTGCAATTCTAGTGGCAGACTGTGTTGGCACACTTGCCATGGCTACCTTATGCATTTAGTGTGTGTGTATGCTATTGTCTTTGCTGAGACTGCAGTATGTTTCTGTTTTTTCCCCAAGAGGCAATGATGGGCATTCTGTGTGGTTTTTTTGGGCACAGGAATGGGGCCACTATGGGATGGGATGAGGTTGGAACTGCTTTTAACTAAACAATTGATTTGTAAGAAGGCCTGATAGATGCGTGACACTTTTTTCAGCATCCAGAGAGTTGCTGTGATGTAAATTTATGTCAGCAATCAAACAACCATATGATTTCTTCATCATCACCGTCACTGTCTGATCTCATCGTCAGGTTCTTCAAAACCATTATCTCTTTGAATGAAAAAATATCTTCATCATTTTTATATCCTTGCCAGTTTTGGGAATTTTAGTTAGTCAACAGATTATCACTCAATGCACATTGAGCCATTCACTCCATAAGTACTTGAATCTCCTCCTCTGTAAATTCTGCAGTGTGTGTGGTGGAGCTGACGATGCCTGTTCTATGCTGGTTTCTTATTTTTCTTTTGTTTCCTTAGTGTTCTTGTGTATGAGGAGCGGCTGGCCGGACAGTTAAAACGCTGGGCTCTCAAGCAGGAGATCCGGGTTCAAATCCTCAGTAAGGCTGGGGATTTTTTCTGCCTGGGGCGGGGGGAGGAGATTAAATCCTCACCTGCACAGACGTGGTGATAGCACCAGCCTGCGACCCTAAATCCTCACGCTAAAAAAAAACCTTCCTACACCCCAAAAAGTGGTATAATAAAGGCAGTAATTGGCAGTTTAGCAGTGATCTTGTCTGGCGACACCTCTTTTAGCTTGCTATTCTCACAGTCTGGTCATGGTTGCAGATTCCAAGTTTCTTGGTTCTCACAAACATCTTACTTCTCATAGAGCATTCTGCCTGGACCATGGCTTGTTCACCCTTCACAGTAACCTTACCTGCAAACCTGTCAGCTTGTTAATTTCCTTGCACACCTGCATTTAACAGAAGTTTAACAAAACATCCTAGTATAAAGATCATTCATTTGAAACCCATTCTAATGGCTTCATTACAAAAGCATGAAAGAAATATCAACAGGTGGGGCAGAATTATACAATGCATTCATTTTGAAGGAATTATGCACAATAGGCTGGTCATAAATGTCATCCTTGGCATTCAGGCAAACATCCCATTGCTTAGGTAGCTGGTGGATGTCGTCCATATAGAAGGATTGTGCTTACTTTCTTTTTATGGTTGGTCAACATCCATGTTAACTGCTGTGAACACACTTTCAGATATTGTAGTTTCTCAACAGACATTCTTCTGAACTGTCCCAGTTGACCCATCAAATTCTTTCATTAATGAACTTATGCTTCGACAACGGTTTATCTGTATTTCTGCATCAGTTTTGGCAATGTTTTTTTTCTCTGTTGCAACAATATTCTGGCCATGGTAGATCTGTTATGAACTCGCACCCTTTCCTAAACATTTGTGTCCCGCCTGTCACTATTGTCTTCGACACACATTTGTTAACATATTTTGCCTGCATTCTTCGATGATGCCCACTGGTCAAAATCCTTCAAGTGAAAGAAAATGAGTCACCACTCTTTTAGCATCTTTGGACAAATTTGTGATCAACGGTCAGAAATAGATTATGCATCACAGGATGATAAGCACATGCTCTTTCATTCATATCCCTGTTTAGACTGATGGACGTGAGGATGCAGCCTGGAGCTGCAAGAAATGAACATTTCACTAAGGGGACAAAACATTTCATTAGCCAACACAGAATAGGCGTCATTCGTTTTACACTTGTGGAACTTTTGAGGAGGAGATCGGAGCACCTATGGTTCTGTCCGAAGTGCTGTGATAACAATCCTTTCTAATCACTAATCTTTTATTCATATGTCAGTACTTACCATATAACTATTACATGATCATATTCCAACATGCTGTGCAGCACAAACAGGTTTCAATTTGATGCTGCTTATATTTTCAGTGTCCGTTTAATCGAATCATCTTCATATTTGACTACCAAAATGTGGAGCTGTTACATAACATCCGAACCCTTGTCATGAGCTTCAATGCCAGGGCTCTGGGACTCGACACCATGTCCCAGCATGCTATTAATACTGCTCTGGCCATGTACAAACTTTCCATGTAAGTGTTGCCAGTTTGTTAATCTGTCTTTATGTCTCTAGGTTTTTGTGTGTGTCTCTGTGTGTGTCTCTGTATATGGTAATAAAACAAGGTAAACAAAGACTTTTGAATAATGGGGACACAAGCAATACATTGCACAATTTATTGCCAGACATATTTTGCTGTATCTACAGAGTAAAATCAACATATAATGAAGCATAAAATGAATCCTTTTCTTGCTGAAATGTATCAACCACATTGTCAAGTTGTTATGAGACGGATATGCAATCAGACAGTAACCGGTACCATTAGAATTGGTTACCATGGTAACTTCCACTTGATCACGTGAAGTATTCTAGGCAAAAAACTGTGCAATGTATTTTTTGTGTCTGCATTATTTACATTTACAATGGGAAAACTTTGTTTTGAAAGACATTTTAATTTCTGATTGAATTTGTCTGTAATCAAAATAATGGACTTCTTTTAAATCTAGGGACACCTTGGGTATATGATGTTTATGTTTGATAGACCAATCAGGATTCGGTGGGTGATGTGGTCAACATCACACTGCCTACCTTTACTTTCCTGGACATTAGTCATCATCATCCACCCTCTATCCCCCAATTGAGCATAAGTCCTCAACCAACTCTTGCTAAGTCAGCCTATTCTTTGCTGTTGCCTGCAGCTCACCCTCATGTCCTCTCCATCCTTTTAACTTCACTCTTTAGCTCCCTTCTCCATGTGTTTTTTGGTCTTCCTTTATTTCTATGCCCCTGTGGCTTCCAATGCAAAGACATTCTAGTTGTATTGTTCTCAGGTTTTCTTAACATGTGTCCTATCCAACACCAGGTTCCTGACCTCTTGATTCACTGGAACTTGTTTAGATCTTTCCCAAAGCTCTACATCAGTGATTCTATCATACCATTTGATTCCCTCTAGTCTACGCAGGCACCAGTTAATGAATGTTTGTTGTTTATTAGTAGCTGTTTTAGTTGTTCTCGTTGTTGTTCCCCCCATACAGCATTACTGATTTGACAAAACTAAAAGTATCAAGTTTAGTACAAGTTTTAATATCTTTTGACCACCATAGATTTCCTAGTTCCTTAGTCTTTTTCCAGAACTTGTGTTTTGCATGCACATCTATTTTACATGTCTGGCTTATTTTTATGCAGACTGTTGGTTCCTCGCCTATTAAACAGATGCCTTCTGACTTTGAAAGACATACCCCTAAGTAGTTGCCTTTTATGGCATGCTTGGAAAAGGTTTGGGGGGGGGGGTCGGTTCTGCCCCCCCCCCCCCCAAATGGGACTCCAGGACCCACCAGTAGAATACTGATGATATTATAATACTGTATGTGGTTTACATTTTTCTGGTGCATCTTTCCTTAGAGGGAGTCGCTGTGGCGTAGTGCCTAGACGCTCGCCTGCAGATCGGAAGGTTGTAGGTCAGACTTTTTCAAAAATGACCTTGACTCCCAGGTCAACCCAGCCTTGAGTGGGTAATGGTTGCAATCCTGGGAAGTAAAGGTGTCCGGCGTGATGCTGACCACATCATCCATCTTGTGCCTTTGGTCTAAAATATAGGTCTAGCCCAGTATACCAAAAACACCTGAAAGGTGTGGAACAGGGTCCTTTACTTGACTGATTTATCTGTCCTCAGAGTGCAGCAGTGCAGCCTTGACCTGAATGTTGTCACAGGCTTCCATGTCCTGGATGGAGAGAAGCACATGTTTGTTCTAGAGGGTCTGGCAGATCAGGCTATTGATGTGCTTTGGGAGACATTACCGCAGCCCAAACAGTCTGGTGAACAATACATTTTCTTTGTTCAGACTCCAACCCTTCATAGTTAATATACTTACTGACAGCATGATTGTCCTGATGTTATAGTACTTCTTCTTCTTTCTCCTCTCTCTTTCTCTTCCTGCTCCTTCTTCTTCTTTTTCTGCTTCTTTCTTTCTTTCTTTCTTTCTTTCTTTCTTTCTTTCTTTCTTTCTTTCTTTCTTTCTTTCTTTCTTTCTTTCTTTCTTTCTTTCTTTCTTTCTTTCTTTCTTTCTTTCTTTCTTTCTTTCTTTCTTTTTCTTTCTTTCTTTCTTTTTTTTCTTTCTTTCTTTCTTTCTTTCTTTCTTTCTTTCTTTCTTTCTTTCTTTCTTTCTTTCTTTCTTTCTTTCTTTCTTTCTTTCTTTCTTTCTTTCTTTCTTTCTTTCTTTCTTTTTCTTTCTTTCTTTCTTTTCTTTCTTTCTTTTCTTTCTTTCTTTCTTTTCTTTCTTTCTTTCTTTCTTCTTTTCTTTCTTTCTTTCTTTCTTTCTTTCTTTCTTTCTTTCTTTCTTTCTTTCTTTCTTTCTTTCTTTCTTTCTTCTTCTTCTTCTTCTTCTTCTTCTTCTTCTTCTTCAGCTGCTCTTGCCCTTAGGAGGATGGTTGGCACATTGTGTATGGTTTATAGCAAGATTGCAATATAAGTGCTTCTTGGATCTATAATAAGGCTTCTTGGATCTATAATAAGGCTTCTTGGATCTATAATAAGGCTTCTTGGATCTATAATAAGGCTTCTTGGATCTATAATAAGTCAACGTTCATTACATGCTTGTTAAGGGGGCATTAGGTCTGTCCCTCTCTTCACCCCCATGCCCACTCCCCCCAGTGAGGCCTAGAAACAAACAGTGGGAACAGTATTTATCTAACAGTCAACATTTATGATCAGTATTGTTTAAAACTGCATTTTATAGAATGAAAAACATCTTGTGCAATATATCCTTGTCATTGAGAGTTAGAAAAAGAATTCTTGCTTGCTACATACATCCAGTTTTAACATATGGCTGTGAATCCAGGACAATCGGTAGGCAGGCCAAACAATTTCTAGAGGCCTCAGAGATTTGGTTTTACAGAAGAATGCTTAGAATACCTTGGACAGCCAAAAAGAGCTACCAGGAGGTTTTGAAAGAGGCGGGAGCCCGAAGAAAACTTATCACAGACATCAGAAGGAGACAGTCATCATTTTTCAGCCATGTTATGAGAAGAGGGAAAATAGAACATGTTGTGACCACTGGAAAGATATGTGGAAGGAGGGATAGAGGAAGACAACGGGAGAAGATGCTTGACAGTCTTGTTGCATGGCATGAAAGTATGTCAGCACACGAACTGATACATGCTGGAGATCGCAGATTATGGAGAGGCATGACCGCCCACGCCAGTCGGCAAGGCACCTGATGATGATGATTGTTTAAATGTGTTTCTTTGCAAGTGTATACAGAGATTTTCATACTGTCCTTAGATGTTCGTGTGCTGTATAACTCGGACCTCTGCTTCAGCAAGAGACTGTACGGCTCCCTGGATGTGGACCTGTGCCGGGTAAAGCTTCATGAACCTTTGTCAGTCATCGTCAAGCAGCCACTCCTCTATGTCAGGGACATGGTGTTCAAGCCTTGTTATGATGCTCTGACCAAACTGCACCAGGTAGGCAGAACAGACCTTCGCGTGTGGGTCTACCTAATTAGTTGACTTTTACGACATGCTTTTTATGGAGCAGTGGGTCAGTTCTTTTTTCAACAATGGCTCCCTGAAACCCAATATAAATGATGGAAATATTTAAAAAAAATGATAGCCATAGCCCTTTTTTGTGTGTGTGTGTGTGTCCCACACAGACCACACAAATATAAAAGAAATGATAGATATTGTTGTTAGGCTGACACTAATCACTAATATTATACAACAATTAATAACCATTGTCCCACACAGTTAAGAACAGATTATAATCATGACTCACTGGTCCCAACACAGATTAGAACAAATTATATTCATGACTCACTGGTCCCAACACAGATTAGAACATATTATAATCATGACTAACTGGTCCCCACATAAATAAGGACAGATTATAATCATGACTTGCTGGTCCCCACAGAAATAAGAACAGATTATAATCATGACTCACTGGTCCCAACACAGATTAGAACAGATTATAATCATGACTCACTGGTCCCCACAGAAATAAGAACAGATTATAATCATGACTCACTGGTCCCAACACAGATTAGAACAGATTATAATCATGACTCACTGGTCCCCACAGAAATAAGAACAGATTATAATCATAACTCACTGGTCCCACACAGATAAGAACAGATTATAATCATGACCAACTGGTCCCCACACAGATTAGAACAGATTATAATCATGACTCACTGGTCCCCACACAGATTAGAACAGATTATAATCATGACTTACTGTTCCTCACAAAAATAAGGACAAATTATAATCAAGAATCACTGGTCCCCAAAAAAATAAGAAAAGATTATAATCATGAATCACTGGTCCCTACACAGATTAGAATATATTATAATCATGACTCACTGGTCCCCACACAGATAAGAATAGATTATAATCATGACTCACTGGTCCCCCATACAGATAAGAACAGATTATAATCATGACTCAGTGGTCCCTCACACAGATAAGAACAGATTATAATCATGACTCAGTGGTCCCTCACACAGATAAGAACAGATTATAATCATGACTCACTGGCCCGCACAGCGATTAGAACAGATTATAATCATGACTTACTGTTCCTCACAAAAATAAGGACAAATTATAATCAAGAATCACTGGTCCCCACAAAAATAAGAAAAGATTATAATCATGAATCACTGGTCCCTACACAGATTAGAATATATTATAATCATGACTCACTGGTCCCCACACAGATAAGAATAGATTATAATCATGACTCACTGGTCCCCCATACAGATAACAGATTATAATCATGACTCAGTGGTCCCTCACACAGATAAGAACAGATTATAATCATGACTCACTGGTCCCCCATACAGATAAGAACAGATTATAATCATGACTCAGTGGTCCCTCACACAGATAAGAACAGATTATAATCATGACTCACTGGCCCGCACAGCGATTAGAACAGATTGTAATCATGACTCATTGATGTGCACAATAGATTAGAATAGATTGTAATCATGACTCAAGGTCCCACACAGATAAGAACAGATTATAATAATGAATCACTGTTCCCCACACAGATAAGAACAGATTATAATAATGAATCACTGTTCCCCACACAGATAAGAACAGATTATAATCATGACTCACTGGTCCCCCACAGATCACTCAGATGGACAGAATGAGGAATGTTGTCAAGTATGACCTATTTCCTACAGCAGAGATGGTTGTGGTAATGAGCCGAGAGTTTGGGGTACCTTATACAGAGAAAGATGCTGCAGGTGAGTGATTCAACAGATTCATAAACTGGCATTTAACGAGCAACACAAAAACTTACAGAAAGAAAACATATGGTAAAGATATGTTTTCAAGATCAGTATCTTCTCCTTTTTTTTTTGTAGACGCCTTAAGAAAGGTGGTTGGTGCATTATGTTGTGGTTTACAGCTGGGCTGTTATACCAGTGCATTTTCCCTCCCAAAACATGATTTCAGCAAATCTTAAATTAGTCACTTTTTATGACATGCTTGCTGGGGATGGTGGTTCTAGCCCCCCCCCCCCCCCCCCCCAATCCCCGTGGAGCCCCAGAACCCACACTGCAAAGATTAATATCTTGAGATTGCTTTCTTGATTTATACCAACAGATGTGCTCTTCTGATGAAATTGTCATTTTTTTTTTATACGTTAAGGCCTACATATTCAGAATACATCTTTAGTGTGTATGTGTGGGTGTTTATAATGTTTGTTTTCCATACATCTTGTGTTTATTTATCTTGTGTTATCATAGTTTAGTACACAGACAAAGATCACCAGCATATTCCAAATCATTTCATTCATTGTTTAGCCATTGTTTGTTTTCCCATGAATCTAAAATCATTGCATTCATTGTTTAGGCATTGTTTGTTTTCCCATGAATCTAAAATCATTACATTCATTGTTTAGCCATTGTTTGTTTTCCTATGAATCTAAAATCATTACATTCATTCTTTAGCAATTGTTTGTTTTCCCATGAATCTAAAATCATTACATTCATTGTTTAGTCATTTTTTGTTTTCCCATGAATCCAAAATCATTACATTCATTGTTTAGCCATTGTTTGTTTTCCCATGAATCTAAAATCATTACATTCATTGTTTAGTCATTTTTTGTTTTCCCATGAATCTATAATCATTACATTTATTTTTTAGCCATTGTTTGTTTTCCCATGAATCCAAAATCATTACATTTATTTTTTAGCCATTGTTTGTTTTCCCATGAATCCAAAATAATTACATTTATTTTTTAGCCATTATTTGTTTTCCCATGAATCCAAAATCATTACATTTATTTTTTAGCCATTTTTTGTTTTCCCATGAATCCAAAATCATTACATTTATTTTTTTAGCCATTGTTTGTTTTCCCATGAATCCAAAATAATTACATTTATTTTTTAGCCATTGTTTGTTTTCCCATGAATCCAAAATCATTACATTTATTTTTTAGCCATTGTTTGTTTTCCATGAATCCAAAAATCATTACACTTTATTTTTTAGCCATTGTTTGTTTTCCCATGAATCCAAAATCATTACATTTATTTTTTAACCATTGTTTGTTTTCCCATGAATCCAAAATCATTACATTTTTTTTTAGCCATTGTTTGTTTTCCCTTGAATCCAAAATCATTACATTTATTTTTTAGCCATTGTTTGTTTTCCCATGAATCCAAAATCATTACATTTATTTTTTAGCCATTGTTTGTTTCCCCATGAATCCAAAATCATTACATTTATTTTTTAGCCATTGTTTGTTTTCACATGAATCCAAAATCATTATAATTATTTTTAGCTAATGTTTTGTTTTTCTATTATTCTTACACTGTATTTAATTGTCATGTGTTCCCTAACATGTTTTTTACCCACCTTTGGTTTAGACGACGGATCAATATCATGGCACAAGGGTAATAACCCGTAAGTACGCCGTTCCACTTTTGACTCAAGCCTGAGTCCAAAGAATCTGAGCCCATTGCATGATATCCATTTCACTGACAAGGATCCTGAAAATACATTGGGTAGATTTTGAACTCCAAATTTTGTCTGGGCAGCGCCGTTAGGCTACTCTTTTCTATTTCCAGTTGCCAAGAGTTTTTTTTTATTAACGTGTGCAACAATACACACGGCTGTTCGATCTTACTACCCAGAGACCAGGGGAAATCACTAGTAGTCTACACACACTAAAATCCTAGTTTTCACAGGGGTCTGAACCCCAGACCTCCAACACTCTAGGCAGAGCCATGCCTCAAGACCATGCAGCCCCCTTACCCATCTTATGTTCTATCACCTTGCTTTCCATTACCTCCATATATTTACATTACCGTGAATACTTTCTTCTTCTTCTCAGAACTCAAGTATTCTGTTTCTGAGGAGAACGTTGAGCAGGATCTACCAGAGCCGGAGTTAAGTCAGCTTGAAGTGGGCCGGCAGGACATGCCTGTTGACAGCCATACACCACCCTGGGAGCAGGACGCTAGCAAAGACCAAAAGCCCAAAAACTTCATTGAGGCTAATATTGTTAGTATTGTTGTGTTAATTAAGGTTAATATTGTTAATATTGTTAATATTGTTGTGTTAATTAAGGTTAATATTGTTAGTATTGTTGTGTTAATTAAGGTTAATATTGTTAATATTGTTGTGTTAATTAAGGTTAATATTGTTAGTATTGTTGTGTTAATTAGGGTTAATATTGTTAGTATTGTTGTGTTCATTGAGGCTAATATTGTTGGTATTGTTGTGTTCATTGAGGCTAATATTGTTGGCATTGTTGTGTTTATTGAAGCTAATATTGTTGGTATTGATGTGTTCATTGAGACTAATATTGTTGGTATTGTTGTTTTCAGTGAGGCTAATAGTGTTGGTATTGTTGTGTTCGTTGAGGCTAATATTGTTGGTATTGTTATTTTCAGTGAGGCTAATATTGTTGGTATTGTTGTGTTCGTTGAGGCTAATATTGTTGGTATTGTTATTTTCAGTGAGGCTAATATTGTTGGTATTGTTTTGTTCAGTGAGGCTAATATTGTTGGTATTGTTGTTTTCAGTGAGGCTAATATTGTTAGTCTTGTTGTGTTCAGTGAGGCTAATATTGTTAGTCTTGTTGTGTTCAGTGAGGCTAATATTGTTGGTATTGTTTTGTTCAGTGAGGCTAATATTGTTGGTATTGTTGTTTTCAGTGAGGCTAATATTGTTAGTCTTGTTGTGTTCAGTGAGGCTAATATTGTTAGTATTGTTGTGTTCATTGAAGCTAATATTGTTGGTATTGTTGTGTTCAGTGAGGCTAATATTGTTAGTATTATTGTGTTCATTGAGGCTAATATTGTTAGTATTGTTGTGTTCAGTGAGGCTAATAGTGTTGGTATTGTTGTGTTCGTTGAGGCTAATATTGTTAGTCTTGTTGTGTTCAGTGAAGCTAATAGTGTTGGTATTGTTTTGTTCAGTGAGGCTAATATTGTTGGTATTGTTGTTTTCAGTGAAGCTAATATTGTTAGTCTTGTTGTGTTCAGTGAGGCTAATATTGTTGGTATTGTTGTTTTCAGTGAAGCTAATATTGTTAGTCTTGTTGTGTTCAGTGAGGCTAATATTGTTAGTCTTGTTGTGTTCAGTGAGGCTAATATTGTTGGTATTGTTGTGTTCAGTGAGGCTAATATTGTTGGTATTGTTGTGTTCAGTGAGGCTAATATTGTTAGTCTTGTTGTGTTCAGTGAGGCTAATATTGTTGGTATTGTTGTGTTCAGTGAGGCTAATATTGTTGGTATTGTGTTCATTGAGGCTAAAATTGTTGGTATTGTTGTGTTCATTGAGGCTAATGTTGTTTGAATGAATGAAAACACACAATATTAGCCTTAAAAAGAGTGTTTTCTCAGCACTCATCTTTAGGGAAGGGAAACATGGTTGATTTACTCGCACCAGGAGAAACGGCTAAATAGCTTTCACCTGTGATGCCTAAAAAGAATACTCTACATGGAGTGGCAAGACTAGATCACAAAGACGGAGGTATTGTGGGAAAAAATGGAAACAGGATGCCATGGACCATGTTACGTGAAGGGGAGAAATCTGGAAAGGAATACAAGAAAAATAATTATTACGGATAGGTTAATTCTTTCACCCCGAGAAGATGAAAAAAGTCAACACCTTCAATTGGCTAGAATGATCTCTTTACAAGATGCACAGTTAATACTAGTGGCTTTTTTCTCCTTCTCACTGTGTAAACATTTAGGAGGTCGGGATATGAATATAATAACTAACTATAGCAGACGGTGGGAGGCGTTTGTGCCAAATGGCTTTCTAAAGCCAAGTTGAATGTCAGAGTTTCTTGTAAACCTCAGTAATAGAGGTCATGGTATGAATCACCCAATACAGGTTTTTTGTGGGGTGTTTTTTTTTTTAAGGGTGATGTATTCCATCTAATGCTTCACAGTGTTCTTGCTTATTGATTACTCTTTTCATAAATCTTTATATATTTCAAAGAAAAATAAAAGTTACAAATGTTGATAGCTGCATTTTAAACAAAATCTATTAGTGACCTCTGTAAAAATTACATTGCTGCTGTGGCTGCAGTGGTCCTGAAATACATGCTTATTCAAAATTATGGATTCACTTTCATTCATATATACTTGGAACTGACTTGTAGGGTTCTTGGTGGCACAACCACGAGAGTGGTTGGTTAAGCAACTGCGCTCTAGTGATAGTATTCAAAATCTTATACTTTCTCCTTTCTCTTGTTTTAGTTAGTTAGTTAGTCTTTCCTCTTGAGCCTAGGGCGGTGCATAGGGCAAAGGTCATGGCTGTCTATCTTGGGGGTGGGGGATGACCCTACAACCTACTGAATATGATTGACAGTGTCCATTATAATTCTGTCATGCATATGAGACCTACCATTTTCCCAGTGTGGGTTCCAGGGCCCTGTTATAGGGAAAACAAGAATAGACCCACTGCCTACCCCAAAGCATGTCGTAAGAGTCTACTAACTGGGAGCTTCCTTCAGACTCTGAGTGCATCTACTTGAGAGGCAATGAACTAGAAGTCTGCCTACAGATGAGTCAGATCTGTAAAACGAATGCAGACACAACACTCAGGTTCTGGAAGAGGACTGCAGTCCAGAAGTGGATGAACGACCAGAACTTTCCGCCAGAGTTTACATGCGGTGAACGCGAAGAAGAGAAGAGACCTACCATTTTATTTTGCTAGTTTCATTATCTCACTGTGAAAAGATTAGGGGGGAAAAATGTATACCATCTGGATCGGCGATTCTCAACCTGTGGGTTATGACCCCTTTGGTGGTCGAAAGACCCTTTCACAGAGATCATCTAAGACCATTGAAAAACATATTCACTGAAGTTATGAAGTAGCAACGAAAATAATTTTATGGTTTGGGGTTACCACAAATGAGGAACTATATTAAAGGGTTGTGGCATTAGGAAGGTTGAGAACCACTGATCTAGATTCTTCTTCCTCTTTGCATTCACCGGCTGAAATCTCCTTCGGAAAGTTATGGTTGTTTGTCCACTTCTGGACTTTGATCTTGATTTTGCATGCACATCCCTTTTACAGATCTTGCTTATTAGTATGCAGACTGTTGGTTCCTTGCCTCTCAGGCAGATATTCTCTGACTTTGAAGGATACACCCTTAATCAGTCACCTCCTATGACATAATTGTTGGAGAAGGGCAGTGAATCTGTTCTTTGTTTTCCAAACTGGAACCACAAAACCCACAGAGGGATTGTCCTGTGTAAATTACCTTCCGCAGCAGCTTCCAATGTGATGACCAATTTAAGAGAGTGTAGATTATCCAGAGAATTATGTTTCCATGTATGATTTCAGAATGATGTGTATATGAAGAGTGCGGCAAGAAGCTTGGAAAGAGAGCAGCACAAACAGACCTACTTCTCCCTGGATATAGACCCGGCTTACAACTACAGCATACAGTATTTGAACAGCACAGAGCTGGTCAAGGAGCAGCTGAGACAGTACCTGAAAGAGCAGGATCCCACTGCCAGGTCAGGCTCTTGAAGACAGATTTCTGGGTTTGGGCCACTGCTTTATCTGTACAGTGAAATTAAAAAACTCCTGTCTGTATATTTCTCTGTCACAAGAACTTCTCCCACACGGTGACTACTAGAGTGGCGAAATTTTCATATGTCATTCTGGTGGCAATATCTAGGTTAACTGTCATATTTGCAACAAGATTTCTACGTATTTCTGATAATTAAACGTCACAATCACTAGAAGTTAACAATCACTAGAGTTATTTCCCTTGAGTACTTACATATTTTTTACATCCCTTAATGAATGAGTTACCAGAGGATCTGGCTGACGCTAAACACTCAGGGGAAGGATGAGATGTATATACAATCAGACGGTTACTGGTAAAATTGGAATTGGAACTCTTCACTTGCTGCTGAAGATGGGGATTGAGCACTTATGGGAGTGTCCTAAGTGCTGTGATGTAGATTCTTAATTCAACATTCTTCTTTAGGCCAAATGCCACTGTTCCAGATCTTCCTGCACAGTGCATGGTAGATTCGAACGATGGCCTACTCTCCTGCTTTAATTAGTTCTGCTGGTATTTCATTCCAACCTGGTGACTTTCCTTTCTTCATCCCATAAAGGCTCTGGTTCTTTTTTCATTACTTTGACAAGTTGTTTTTTAATTACTTGTCAGATCCTCATACATTTCTCTGAAGTATTCTTTCCATCTTTCTAATGTGTCTTTGGTTTCCGTTAATGTGTTACCGTTTTTATCCCTTTTTACATGAAAAGAAGGCCTGAAGTCACCTTACAATGTTTTACTTTCTTTAAACGTGTCTCCGTCTCTTCCTTGCATCTGGAGTTGTTCAATTCTATTAAAGGTATTTATAATAAACTTTTTTTTTAACTCCTCCGATAGCTCTTCTGATTTCTTTCATGTAGTTCCTATATGAATGACTTTTTGTTTCTGTCGCTACTTGCTTTAAATTTCTTCTTTCTTCTGTCAGCTTGAAAGTTTTTTTCTGTAATGTAAATCTGTTTCTTGTGTCATTTTTTAGGAATCATGTTCTGAGCTGTTGTGATGATGATGTTTCTTGCTTCATCAGCCAACTCATCAGGTGTTATATACTCCTGCACTGGTCATGAGTGCCTCAAATTTGTTTTTAATCTCAATGCTGGAATCATTTAATAAATTACTTAAATTAAAACATATTGGCTTAGCCCCTTTCAACACTTTTTTCAGTTTAATTGTAAACTCTGCAACAGTCACAAAATGGCCTTGACCCGCCCATCTATGTTCAGAAATTCCTAGTATCTTTTTTATTTCTTCCTAGTTCTCTGCCAACGATGCTAAGTTTTTTCTGATACACACTTCTAACATTCCATGTTCCTAACTTTGAAGTTTTCTTTAGAGTGATGACAGAGTTTTCTGTTGTAGAACTGTCAGGCTTAAGGCTGTCATCACAACTACCCTTACTTGCTATGCCATCGTTCTCTTCCTCAGTTCGTGTTTGTGATCTGCCTGGCCTGGGGGCCTCACCATCAGATCTTTAAGTTTCATTTTTGATGATGAGTTTCTTGGGATAGTAATGTGGTAGTTTCCCCTTGTTTTCCACATCCACATGGCTTAAGACTACGTCCTCAGCCTTCAGCAACCTTTTCGATTGCTAGGGCAAGTGAGTGCCCTGCTCTATGATGCTCCTGACAGCAAAGGGCACCTCAGAGGTGTCCACTTATCCCAGCGGATACTCGGTCCCCATAGCTGCATTGGCCACACCGCAGTGTGTTTACCATTCTCTACCGAGTGGAGGTGCAGTTGGGGTTTTCCCTTCACTAAGTCTTGTGATCAGAATGGCATTTCCTAAAACTCTCCAGTACTTTCAGAGGACAATAGAAAATATACCTTAACATAGTCTCCCGGTGAATTAATTGGGAATATTTCGTTTATTTAAAGTGTGTTGTGTCGAGAAAGGCTCAGGCTGAATTGTCTGATTTTGTACTGTGTGTTTACGTCCCATTCCCTCCCTCCGTTAAGCTTCGGAGTATGCACAGAGTAAGTCCACAAGGACAGAATGTAAGGTGGAGATGTACGCCCAATTCTTAACCCTTTAAATATAAAGTTCTTTCGTTCATAATCACAGTTCAGTGAATTAATTAACCCTTGTTGGTTCCGGGGCCCTTTTATAGAGATAAAAAAAAAATAGACCCACCGCCTACCCAAAAGCATGTCATCAGAGTCGACTAATTGGGCGCTTCCTTCGAAGTCGGAGTGCATCTGCCTGATAGGCATGGAACCAACAGTCTGCACACAAATGAGTCAGACCTGTCAAACGGATGCACACGCAATACTCAAGTTCTGGGACAGGTCTGTAGTTCAGAAGTGGACAAACAACCAGAACTTTCCACCAGAGTTTACAGCTGGTGAACGGTAAAAAAGAAGAAAAAAAGAATTTCATATAAAGACCATCATGTGGAATGATGGAAAAACAAATGAGGCAGACCTCTTTAAGATCAGTGAAAGTCATGAACTTTTTAGAAACATTAGAAGCAGAGAATTTATGTCTTTCAGACATTTCATGTAAAGGAATGGACCTTGATAACAACTGGAAACACTCATGGAAAGATAGTAAAGGGAAAGGCAGAGAGATAAATCCCTGCATATCAGACAAGAGCACTGACATGATCCATGGTTTTATGGATCGTGTGAGATGGCGAAACATAACAGCCTCTGCTTATCGACATGGCACAAGATGATGATTATGATGATGTTTATAATCATGCAGGCTCATAATGAGTGACTTGTGTGAGAATGTTTATATGTCCGCATTTATGTGTTGAATGTGATGTAAGAGGGTTCTGTGGCAAAGTGGTCAGGCCGTTTGCCTTGTGCTCCGAAGGTCGTGGGTTTGTTTCACGGCTCTGATTTTCAGCTCATGAGTACAATTTTTATCGCTAGAGCTACAGATTTCGTGCTTTTAAGCAGCAAGCCAGTCTGCGGAGACTGAGCCATATAGGATAAAACCCAATGCAATGAAGTCGGTTCTCTCGACTTCAACCTTTAACCTTTATGTGATGTAAATTAACACATCAACTTTCAGATATGCTTACAACCATGAATTTCTGTCTGGACTGTTTTGCCCTGTCAACATCGACCAAGAGAACAAAAACTTGGAGGCGGACAGTCGGGCTCGCTGGAAGACGGAGAAGGGCTGGACTAATCCTGGAAAGAAGGCTGTTCGTGAGAGTTATGCCCATAAGAATCACCCAGATTCCGCACGAGTGGAAGAACTTCAAGAGGTTTGTTGACATTTCGGATAAATATCTGTGGTAGTAAAAAAAATTTATCTAGGAAGCACATTTACAGAAGATGGCAGGCTCGATAGAGAGATAGAAGCCAGAGTACAGAGTACAAATGCTGCCACCTACCCCGCTAGCCCCACTGCTTAGACACCCTCACTTCCAGCAAAACAGCAAAGGAATAATAGCATCTTCATCCCTACTTTTTGCTGTCAGGGCCAAACATTGACAATGACTAGGGCGCTGAAACAAAAAATTACTATCTGTAAAATGCGGCATCTCTGTAATGTCACATACAACACAAAAAGAGGTAGGGTTACACATACCAGCATTAGCCAGAAAGTTGGAATAATACTGTGTCTGAATTATATTGACAGACACAAAATAAAATGGTTCGATTACATAGTGGGTGTGAAGTCAGGCCAAACAAAAGGAATTCGTACCGCAGAAAATCTGGGAGAAAGACATAGGGAAAACTGTGATGATGGGATTTCCCAAGGGGTTTCCTTATGACAGCATAGGGTCAAAGGGAAAGTCAGGTAAGTAACAGGCGAGAAGGGCAAGGCTCGCAAATAACAGGTTTATGGGAATAATGGAAGGGGGACATCATGGTAACCAAAGAGAGGTTTGAAAGGGGGAAACAAGGATCGAATCAGTTGGTGTTGGGGTAACCAAAGAGAGGTTTAAAATTTGAAAAAAAGATCGAATCAGTTGGTGTTGGGGTAACCATAGAGAGGTTTGAAAGGGCAAACAAAGATCGAATCAGTTGGTGTTGGGGTAACCATAGAGATGTTTAAAATTAAAAAAAAAGATCGAATCAGTTGGTATTGGGGTAACCATCGAGAGGTTTGAAAGGGGAAACAAAGATCGAATCAGTTGGTTTTGTTGTTTTCTGTTCATCATTGGTGTGTCATCAACAGCTGCATGACCCACTGCCTTACCAGCAAGCATGTCCTATGAGTCGACTAACTGGGGACTTCCTTCAAAGTCGGAGTACATCTGCCCGAGCGGCAAGGAACAACCAAATGCTCACAAATAAGCCAGTAAAACGAATGTACACGCAAAACTCAGGCCCTGGCACAAAGCCTAAGTCCAGATGGACGAACAACCATAGGATACATGGATTTATTGCATAAAATGATCTTCACTTTTTAAAATACAGTTTGGCCTCTTCTATTCTGTTCTTTACGTCTGTGAAGAGAGAGGTAATAGATAATTAGTATCACCAAATCCTGCAAAAAAGTAAACAAATCCATCACCCAAGCTAACCAAGAAGTGCAGGACAATATACAGAAAACCCTGACACTGGGCTACAACCTGATATGAGTAAGACAACAAAAGAAGAAGAAGTTGAAATGTAGAAATACCATATTCTTTTTTGGAGTAACTATTCCTAGTAAATACTGTTGTGAGGATGTCAGTAAATGGTCTCTTGACTAGGTCAGGCATGATGGGAGGAGGTAGTAAACTTTACCAACCATTGTACACACAGTAATCACAGGATATTTTATAACTGTCTAAGTACAAACAAGTCGATGCGAACGCTTCGTAAGGCCGGGTTCGATCCCAGCTGCTGGCCATGTGCCTTGCGTTGGTTTCGACAGTGGTATCAAGAAAGTTGAACGTCCAGAAAGCAATGACAAACTACTAAATGTAAATTTGCCTAGAAAAACCACACAACAGCCAGGGGCTGTTGCGGTTGGTTCTGCAACATCCTGTAAAGGATATGCAACTAACCTAACCTAAGTACAAACATTCATTAACTGGTGCTTGCGCAAAATTCTTCTTCTTATTCTGCCTTTCTAGCCTCCAGTGGAGCATAGGCCCTCAACCAACTCATGCCAAGTCATTCTATCTTTTGCTATTGCATGTAGCTCTCCCCATCTTTTTAACTTCATTCTCCAGCTCCCTTCTCCCTGTGTTTTTTGGCCTTCCTTTATTCCTATGCCCCTGTGGGTTCCATGCAAAGACATTTTATTTATATTGTTTTCCGGTTTTTTCAATGTGTGTCCTATCCAACGCCAGCGTCTTTTCTTCACCTCTTGGTCCATTGGAGCCTGTTTAGTTCTCTCCAAAAGCTGTACATTAGTGATTCTATCATACCATTTAATTCCCTCTAATCTGTTTCCGCTTCATACAAAAGTACTGATTTGACATTAAAATTAAAAATTTTATAAGTTTAGTATTTCTTTTAATTTCTTTTGACCTCCGCAAATTCCCCAGTGCTATGAAAGCTTGCGCAGACTAGAGGTAATGAACTGGCATGATAGAATCATTGATGTTGAGCTTTGGGAGAGGACTAAACAAATTCCAGTGAATCAAGAAGTGGGGGGGGGGGGGAGAAGAGACACTGGCATTGAAAGATACACTTTGAGAAACCTGAGAACATTATAACTAGAATGTGTTTTCACTAGAGCATGTGATGTTCCATTTGAAACAAGAGCTGTAAGGTTGGGTTTGTCCATAGTTGTTATGTTCCATTTGGAACCAGAGCTGTAAGGCTGGGTTTGAGTCCATAGTTGTTTTGTTTCATTTGGAACCAGAGCTGTAAGGCTGGGTTTAAATCCATAGTTGTTGTGTTCCATTTGGAACCAGAGCTGTAAGTTTGGGTTTGAGTCTATAGTTGTTTTGTTTTATTTGAAACCAGAGCTGTAAGGTTGGGTTTGTCCATAGTTATCTGTTCGTTGGGTTTGAGTCTATAGTTGTTATGTTCCATTTGGAACCATAGCTGTAAGGCTGGGTTTGAGTCTATAATTTTTTGTAAACAATGATGTAGAGAGGTTTTAAAAACAATTTTATTGTCTGATGCAGGAGTGGATGGAAAACAGTTTGCACACCAACATATTCAAATCCCCACTCGACAGAGACCACTATCCCTGGAATGACCGAAAGAAAGATCTGGAGCTGTACTGCAAACCTCCGCCAGATTTTGGAAACCAAGCAGCTCTGTCTATGTATGCTAGTGAAGCCTGTGTTCCTGAACAGTGCAAGGCTGGCCGTTTGGAGTAAGATACAAATTAATACTTTTGTTCTAGTAAGATACAATATAATACTTTTGTTCTAGTAAGATACAAGATAACACTTTTGTTCTAGTAAGATACAAGATAACACTTTTGTTCTAGTAAGCTACAAGAAAATGCTTCTATTCTAGTAAGATACAAGATAATGCTTCTGTTTTAGTAAGATACAAGATAATGCTTCTGTTCTAGTAAGATACAAGATAATGCTTCTGTTTTAGTAAGATACAAGATAATGCTTCTGTTCTAGTAAGATACAAGATAATGCTTCTGTTCTAGTAAGATACAAGATAATGCTTCTGTTTTAGTAAGATATAAGATAATGCTTCTGTTCTAGTAAGATACAAGATAATGCTTCTGTTTTAGTAAGATACAAGATAATGCTTCTGTTCTAGTAAGATACAAGATAATGCTTCTGTTTTAGTAAGATACAAGATAATGCTTCTGTTCTAGTAAGATACAAGATAATGCTTCTGTTTTAGTAAGATACAAGATAATGCTTCTGTTCTAGTAAGATACAAGATAATGCTTCTGTTCTAGTAAGATACAAGATAATGCTTCTGTTCTAGTAAGATACAAGATAATGCTTCTGTTCTAGTAAGATACAAGATAATGCTTTCTGTTTTAGTAAGATACAAGATAATGCTTCTGTTCTAGTAAGATACAAGATAATGCTTCTGTTTTAGTAAGATACAAGATAATGCTTCTGTTCTAGTAAGATAAAAGATAATGCTTCTGTTTTAGTAAGATACAAGATAATGCTTCTGTTCTAGTAAGATACAAGATAATGCTTCTGTTCTAGTAAGATACAAGATAATGCTTCTGTTCTAGTAAGATACAAGATAATGCTTCTGTTCTAGTAAGATACAAGATAATGCTTCTGTTTTAGTAAGATACAAGATAATGCTTCTGTTTCTAGTAAGATACAAGATAATGCTTCTGTTTTAGTAAGATACAAGATAATGCTTCTGTTCTAGTAAGATACAAGATAATGCTTCTGTTTTAGTAAGATACAAGATAATGCTTCTGTTCTAGTAAGATACAAGATAATGCTTCTGTTTTAGTAAGATACAAGATAATGCTTCTGTTCTAGTAAGATACAAGATCATGCTTCTGTTTTAGTAAGATACAAGATAATGCTTCTGTTCTAGTAAGATACAAGATAATGCTTCTGTTCTAGTAAGATACAAGATAATGCTTCTGTTCTAGTAAGATACAAGATAATGCTTCTGTTTTAGTAAGATACAAGATAATGCTTCTGTTCTAGTAAGATACAAGATAATGCTTCTGTTCTAGTAAGATACAAGATAATGCTTCTGTTTTAGTAAGATACAAGATAATGCTTCTGTTCTAGTAAGATACAAGATAATGCTTCTGTTCTAGTAAGATACAAGATAATGCTTCTGTTCTAGTAAGATACAAGATAATGCTTCTGTTCTAGTAAGATACAAGATAATGCTTCTGTTCTAGTAAGATACAAGATAATGCTTCTGTTCTAGTAAGATACAAGATAATGCTTCTGTTTTAGTAAGATACAAGATAATGCTTCTGTTCTAGTAAGATACAAGATAATGCTTCTGTTCTAGTAAGATACAAGATAATGCTTCTGTTTTAGTAAGATACAAGATAATGCTTCTGTTCTAGTAAGATACAAGATAATGCTTCTGTTCTAGTAAGATACAAGATAATGCTTCTGTTCTAGTAAGATACAAGATAATGCTTCTGTTTTAGTAAGATACAAGATAATGCTTCTGTTCTAGTAAGATACAAGATAATGCTTCTGTTCTAGTAAGATACAAGATAATGCTTCTGTTTTAGTAAGATACAAGATAATACATCTGTTCTTCTTCTTCGTGTTCACCAGTTGTAAACTTGGGCAGAAAGTTATGGTTGTTTGTCCACTTCTGGACTTCCTTGCCTCTCTGGCAGATGAACTCTGACTACATAGGACACTTTTAAATATTTGCCTCCTAGGACATGCTTTAAGGGGACAGTGGGTCCCCCCCCCCCCCCATAATGAGACCCCAGAACCCACACAGAGAATGCATCTGTTGTTTGGCTGTTTGATTTTACTTGGCACTGGCATTTCTTTGTTGGAGTGTATCATAGGAATGTCATAGAGTTGGGATTTGTGGATAATGGGGGAGGTCAGGGGTAAAGGAGGTCACAGGTAAAGGAGGTCAGGGGTTAACTCTACCAGACATGAGGGCCTGAACCTAACTGTATATATATCTGTGTTCCTGGGCATTAAAGTGAAAAAACCAACATGATATACAAAAATGTTAGTTAACGCAAACAAGTGGTTAGAGTATGATGAAATGTGGAGACATTGTAGGAAATAAGTTTACCTTACCTTTCATCATTAAAATTTAGATCTGTATTTGGTGATACAAAATTCCTTGTCCAACCTTCATCACCATCTAGATCACCCCCATCAGCTGTTTGAGGGACACCCCCCCATCTCTTACTATTGATTTGGCTCTAGATCTATAAGGTTCACGATTCTCCTCATCACTTGAGCTCTCACTGTCTGTGTCACTTCAACTGGAAACATATTCTTGATGAAATTCTGACTCCTCAGAGACTGAATCAACTAAAGTATCGATCACCTTTTAGACTGTGAAAAGCCTAGACTACTTTCCTGTTGAAGTGCTTTGTTCATCAGCCACTTCATTGTGAATTTTCAGAATTTTTTCATGTGAAACCACACAAAGCCAATTCAAACACATGGGGGCAGCCATTTGCAATGACTAACCATGGGTTTTGACCACGATTGGTTGGTTATTTTTAGTTTGTGATGCATTTTCTAACGTAGTACGCAAAGTACCGAAAATTAGGTAAAGTAGTTCAGCGGCAGATTAGGAAATTCCCGGAAAAGCGGTACAGCGGTCTGGTAGAGTTAAGGAGGTCAGTGGTGAAGGACCCTTTTAAAGCCTTTGGTCCATGAGGAAAATAGTACTGGACCTTTATGTTTATAGACCGAAGGGTGATGTGGCCAGCATAAGCCGGCCAACTGATGGCCCACATCAGAAGGAGACAATCTACATTCTTTGGTCATATCATACGAAGGAGAAAACTGAAGTACATTGTGATGGTTTGAAAGTTGGAGCGGAAAAGAGGCAGAGGGAGACTAAGAGACAGTTTGGCATCATGGCATGGAAGACCATCTGTGTCATGACTACCACCTCATAACATGGACTTTAAGAAGAACTCTAGCAGCCTGTATTTCCCAGAACATTACCAGCTACACATCTCAGGTCGGGCCTACCTGGGAGCCAGCGTCAGTTTTGGAGAAGAAAAAAAATTCAACTCAGTGTGCATTTGAACCCTCTAGCTTCAGGTCCGCAGGATAGCATCTAGTCACAACGCCACTGAAGCTTCCTTGTTGATACATAAGTTGTTATGAACGATGCGGGTGAGGAAGTGTTAGAACTAATGCTGTTCTCGGTGTGTCCACAAGGGAAAATATCATCTTTAGTCCGCCAGGAGTCTCGTGAACAAACTGTATATTTTCTTTAGTCCGCCAGGAGTCTCGTGAACAAATTGTATATTTTCTTTAGTCCCCCAGGAGTCTCATGAACAAATTGTATATTTTCTTTATTCCCCCAGGAGTCTCATGAACAAATTGTATATTTTCTTTAGTCCGCCAGGAGTCTCATGAACAAACTGTATATTTTCTTTAGTCCGCCAGGAGTCTCGTGAAGAAATTGTATATTTTCTTTATTCCCCCAGGAGTCTCATGAACAAATTGTATATTTTCTTTAGTCCGCCAGGAGTCTCGTGAACAAATTGTATATTTTCTTTAGTCCCCCAGGAGTCTCATGAACAAACTGTATATTTTCTTTAGTCCCCCAGGAGTCTCGTGAACAAATTGTATATTTTCTTTATTCCCCCAGGAGTGTCGTGAACAAATTGTATATTTTCTTTAGTCCGCCAGGAGTCTCGTGAACAAATTGTATATTTTCTTTAGTCCCCCAGGAGTCTCATGAACAAACTGTATATTTTCTTTAGTCCGCCAGGAGTCTCGTGAACAAATTGTATATTTTCTTTATTCCCCCAGGAGTCTCGTGAACAAATTGTATATTTTCTTTAGTCCGCCAGGAGTCTCGTGAACAAATTGTATATTTTCTTTAGTCCCCCAGGAGTCTCATGAACACATTGTATATTTTCTTTAGTCCCCCAGGAGTCTCGTGAACAAATTGTATATTTTCTTTAGTTCGCCAGGAGTCTCGTGAACAAATTGTATATTTTCTTTAGTCCCCCAGGAGTCTCATGAACAAATTGTATATTTTCTTTAGTCCCCCAGGAGTCTCATGAACAAATTGTATATTTTCTTTAGTCCCCCAGGAGTCTCATGAACAAATTGTATATTTTCTTTAGTCTCCCAGGTGTCTCATGAACAAATTGTATATTTTCTTTAGTCCCCCAGGAGTCTCATGAACAAATTGTATATTTTCTTTAGTCCCCCAGGAGTCTCGTGAACAAATTGTATATTTTCTTTAGTCCCCCAGGAGTCTCGTGAACAAATTGTATATTTTCTTTAGTCCCCCAGGAGTCTCATGAACAAATTGTATATTTTCTTTAGTCCCCCAGGAGTCTCGTGAACAAATTGTTTATTTTCTTTAGTCCCCCAGGAGTCTCGTGAACAAATTGTATATTTTCTTTAGTCCCCCAGGAGTCTCGTGAACAAATTGTATATTTTCTTTAGTCCCCCAGGAGTCTCGTGAACAAATTGTATATTTTCTTTAGTCCCCCAGGAGTCTCGTGAACAAATTGTATATTTTCTTTAGTCCCCCAGGAGTCTCGTGAACAAATTGTACATTTTCTTTAGTCCCCCAGGAGTCTCGTGAACAAATTGTATATTTTTTTTATTCCGCCAGGAGTCTCATGAACAAATTGTATATTTTCTTTAGTCTCCCAGGCGTCTCATGCAAAATTTTTTATATTTTTTCAGTCCCCCAGGAGTCTCATGAACAAATTTTATATTTTTTTTTTTTAGTCCCCAAGTTGTGAACAAATTTAAGGGGTCTTTACATGCACCCGTTGGCTCTGTGGCTAAGTCGATGCGATCGCTTCGCTTTGTAATGCCGGGATGCCAGGTTCGATCCCAGCTGCGGGCAATGCGCCTTGCGTTGGTTTCGACGTTGGTATCAAGACAGCCGACCGTCCAGTAAGCAATGGCAAACTACTGGATGTAAATTGCTTAGAGAAACCACACAACAGCCAGGGGCTGTTAGGGTTGGTTCTGCAACGTCCTGTAAATGACACGCAACTAACTTTTTTTTTTTTTTTTTTACATGCACCCACATATTTACCCATTTATAGCCATGTCTGCAGTGACCTATTCTTGACAATTGTAGATTCCCGTGCATTGTTTGATTAGCAAGCTAGGATAGTGTTTTCCAAACTTTTCTAAGGCCCAGCGCCTTTTTTCAATTAAAATTTGGCCCCGGTGCCCTAACCGAAGTAAGAGTATCACTACTCGTATGTAAGAGATATTTAAAAAAAAAAATAACTCATATATCTTTGAATATTTTGTGGCGCCCCTGTAAAGAGGTCATGGCTTCCTGAAGTACAACAGCTCACAATTTAGGAATCACTGAGATAGGATATGAATATAATAGCAGTTGATTGGGGGTGAGAGGTTGACAGCAATGGTGCCAAAATACTTTATTTCTGACGTGTGTAATATGGTATTTAATTAATTAATTTATCTATTTGTTTAATTTTTTTTTTTTAAAGAAAATACCTCAGGGTATATCTTTTGCCTTTTTTCTTTCTTTCTGTCTTCTTCTCTTCTGTGCTGCTGCTACTTTAAAAAAAAAATGTTTAATGGTATTTACGGGAATTAAAGATTTATGTAAATTCACTCTTTTTGTATTCGTTTTGTTGTTGTTGAAATATATGACTTTTCAAAAGTTCATGGCCTAGGTTCACAGATCTTTTTCTGAGCTGAGAACCCTTGCTGAAGTCCCTTGTACACATTTTCAGAAACACTGAGGATTGGAAGTCCCGTGTGGTGACCGAAGATGTCAGGCAGTATTTCCATCGGCTTCTGCCTGCAACTGAGATGACAGTTAAAGGATTCTATTCCAGCAACCAGTTGGACCGACTGAAGGGTCTTCTCAAAGATCCAGCAAGGTACTAGAGATGTTGCTTTAGAATAATTTTCTTTGTCAAACCTGAGAGAATATTGTTAAAGGATTTGTTGTTATTTATGTTTATTTTGTTGTTGTTGTTGGGTTGGATTCTTCTAAGGTGTTTGCCCCAAAAGTGTGGTTGGCACGTTGTATTGTAGTTTACAGCAAGGTTGCAGTATTAACATTTTTGGCCAAACGTATCCGATGTCATTAAACCCTCAATTAGTCATGACAAATAAATGTTGCAGCTAGAAAGCCTTTATCAGCAAATTACATGAATAGACAGTGTTAGTGTACAAACAAGAATACACAAAATCACTTAACTGAGGTCTCTCCCAGAAAAATCCACATGTCTGTCTGGCCACTTGAAGCTCTGAGACAGGTGTGAATACAGGAAATGAATACAAGCAAGAAAAGGATGTGAAAGGCAAAGGCCGTAACTCTCGAACATGGTTATACAATGGGAAGAAAAGTAGCAGACCCGCAGTAATGGAGATCACTTATGAATGCCTTAGTGGGAACGTAATGTCTGTCATACGTAATGTCTGGCATACGTAATGTCTGGCATACGTAATGTCTGGCATACGTAATGTCTGGCATACATAATGTCTGGCATACGTAATGTCTGGCTTATGTAATGTCTAGTAAACGTAATGTCTGGCATACATAATGTCTGGCATACGTAATGTCTGGCTTATGTAATGTCTAGTAAACGTAATGTCTGGCATATGTAATGTCTGGCATACGTAATGTCTGGCTTATGTAATGTCTAGTAAACGTAATGTCTGGCATATGTAATGTCTGGCTTATGTAATGTCTAGTAAACGTAATGTCTGGCATACATAATGTCTGGCATACGTAATGTCTGGCTTATGTAATGTCTAGTAAACGTAATGTCTGGTATACATAATGTCTGGCATACGTAATGTCTGGCTTATGTAATGTCTAGTAAGCGTAATGTCTGGTATACATAATGTCTGGCATACGTAATGTCTGGCTTATGTAATGTCTAGTAAACGTAATGTCTGGTATACGTCGAAGGATCAGGCACTGGGTAATTACATCTACAGAGGTACCACTGTATTTTGGTTCGATGCTGAGGAGCTGAGTTAGTCGCTGTGGCCGAGCTGCTAGACGCTTGCCTGCAGATCGGAAGGTCATGGGTTCGCTCCCTGGCAAAGCTAAACTTTTTTTTTTTTTTAAATGACCCTGGCTCCCAGGTCAGCCCAGCCTTGATTGGGTACCCGGTGCAGTCACGGGAAGTAAAGGCGGCCGGCGTGATGCTGACCCCATCACCCATCTTGTGCCGATTGGTCTATAAAATAGGTCTAGCCCTATGTACCTTATACGCCTAAATGTGTGGAAAAGGGTCTTTACTTCACTTACTGAGGAGCTGAACAACCTGTGGAGGTTTAGCTGACCAGAGCTGAGACTGGTCAAGACCTAGTTATTCTTCTCTAAGGTCATTCTTGAGACAGGTTGCCAACCAGGAGGAGAGGCAAACCTAGATTGGATGGGTAAAAGTGATGTGCTTGCAAAATTCCAGTCAAGGAACAAGACCAGGATTCAGAAGTGGATGAACAACACTGCTTTTTGTCTTAGTTTGCAACCTTTGAACATCAAAAATGTAAAAACAAAGGCGAACCTAGATTGGATGAGTAAAAGTGATTTGCTTGCAAAATTCAAGGCCTGGAACAAGACCAAAAACTAGAAGTGGATGAACTACAGGGCTTTCTGATTTAGTTTACAACCTGTGAACATGAAAATGTAAAAACAAAGGGCCCTTTTCCACACCATTAAGTGTATTGGGCATATAGTGCTAGATTTATCTTTGTACTCACGGGCTGTAAATGCTGGTGAAAAGTACTAGGTGTTCGTCCACCTCTGGGCTTTAGTCTTGTTTCAGAACCTGAGTGTTGCATGTATATCCATTTTTACAGATCTGACTTATTAGTGTGCAGATTGTTGGTTCCACTCCTTTTCAGGCAGATGCACTCTGACTTCAGAGGAAGCCACCAGTTAGTCAACTCTTTCAGCATGCTTGTTGGGGAAGCAGTGGGTCTGTTCTTGTTTTTCCCCCACAGTGGGGTCCTGGAACCCACACGGGGAGCTAAACATATTTTTATAGACTAATAATCAGCACTTGGTGGGTGATGTGGTCAGCTTCACACCGGCCGCCTCTGCTTCCCAGAGTTTTAGCTGGTACCCATTTAAGAAATTAAGAAGAGTTTGGAGGCAGCTGAGATGTGGTTCTTGAGAAGAATGTTGCCAATACCTTGGACTGCCACAATAACTAACAATAATTGCCTGGAAATGAACGCCTACACCAGCTGGCAAGGCACTTGATGATGATGATGATGACCTATTTAAGACTGTGCCGACCTGGGAGCCAAGGTAATTATGTTTTAAATCGGTCTCGATGCGGTTCTGAACATATAATCATCGGTTCTGAACATACAGTCATCGGTTCTGAACATACAAAATTCACGCCCAAGGCAAGTTTCAAGCCGCAGCACATCGGCGGCTCCCAAAATAAAAAAAGAAGGTGTAATTTAGTGCCACCACAGTGACATCACTTTTTTCTATCATTTCAGGAAATATGGTCTCAGGCTGAGTTCCAATGTGAATGACATTCCAGCTCTGTCAGTGATTGGCCAGCCGTGTTTGAACAAGTCTGCCAACAGAACAGAGTCGCTCTCCAGGTTTGAGGAATCTGGTGATACATTTTGTGGGCTTCGACCTGGAGATTTACCGCACTCCTGGACAAGAGATGACAACCAGGTCCCGTGCCACAACTATGAACATGATAAGTTCAGGCAGTTGAAAGGTCATGACTTCAGGTAAGTTCACCCAGAGGTATTTCATTCCGCTAATACTTTATTTGTGTTCTCACTCCTTTTGTACACACAAACCTAGTTTGTAAAGGATGTATTAATTTCATTGAGATACCCGGGTGGGTGCCAGGTCCCCACTGTGGGAGAAACAAGAATAGAGCCACTGTTCCCTCCAGCAAGCATGTCATAAAAGGCATCTAATTATAGATGTTTCTATCGGAGTGTATCTGTCGGAAAGGCAAGGAACCAACAGTCTGCCAACAAATAAGCCAGATCTGTAAAATGAATGCGCATGCAGAACTCAAGTTCTGGAAAAGGCCAGTCATGAAGTGATGAACAACCCGAACTTTCCACTGGGTTTTACAGCCGGTGGACACAAAGAAGAAGAAGATACATACCTAGTTTTCTTGGTTGCTGAGAGGCAGACTCATGCTTCGAACCGCTCTGCCCACTGGTCACTACCCTTTTCATTTGAAAAATCAGTAATTCTTGCAAACATTCCCAGTCTATGACAGGATTTGAATCTGGTAATTTCTGAACTGGAGGAAGACATCTCTCCTGGTTTATGTTTGTAGTCTTGTATATATTCAGTAACATTAGGCGATTACTGTTAGTAATTACTACGTAAAAATTGTTATACTGTGTTTTTTGTTGTTTTTTTTTAAAGCATGAGAAACAAGGACAGGAGAGACATCGTTAATGCAGTACAAGAGACTAAACGCTTTGAGGCTTTGAGTTTCGTGGAAAATGATTTATCACTGAATAGACTGTGTACCAATTGGAGCAAGAGACAGAAAAACTATGCAGTAGCCACCCGTTGTTATATCAACCAGAGCAAACTGGGAGTGGTTAGCTTAAAAAAACTTGGAGGCATAGGATGAGATCAGAGCACTTATGGTCATGTGCGATGAAATAATCTTTAAAGGAACAGAGAACAGTGATAACATTTTGGTTGTAATAATTTATTATAGTTTTATTTTTCTCCAGTGCAAGCCACAAGAGCAGAAATCCGCTAAGCTTGCGGCCGATCCTGGCTTTACGACCAGAAGAGAGAGACAACAGTTTATTTCGAAGACCATTCTCAGCAAGTCCTTACAGACGGCCATTACCTCCAGTAAACCACCGGGCACAAACAGCACAAAGTTCAAACAGTCAAGAAAACTTTGCTCGGATTCAAGAAGTGGCTTCTGAAAATGTCAGAGTTTCAGAAAACACAGCATTAAATGTGCCTGCTGAATCTGTAGATGATACTTGCCTAGAATCTGAGAACAAAGAGGAACCATTTACACAGCATGTGCTGGCAACAGCCTAGACACATCTGCCTGAAGTCTTAGAACAAAGAGGAAACATTTACACAGCATTTCTGACAATAGCATAGATCACACATCTGCCTGGGATAGAACAAAGAGGAACCATTTACACAGCATGTTCTGACAATAGCATAGATGACACACCCGCCTGGGATCTCAGAACAAAGAGGAACCATTTACACAGCATGTTCTGACAATAGCATAGATGACACACCCGCCTGGAATCTCAGTACAAAGAGGAACCATCCACACAGCATGTTCTGACAACAGGACACATATGCCTGGAGTCTCAGAACAACGAGGAACCAAGCATGTTCTGACAACAGCATAGCTGACACATCTGCACAGCCTGAAACTGTTGTCTTGGAAACACTGGCATTGACTGTGTGATGTGAAACTGTTGTCTTGGAAATACTGGCATTGAATGGGTGATGTGAAACTGTTGTCTTGGAAACACTGGAATGGACTGGGTGATGAGAAACTGTTGTCTTGGAAACTGGAATGGACTGGGTGATGTGAAACTGTTGTCTTGGAAACACTGGCATTGACTGGGTGATGTGAAACTGTTGTCTTGGAAACACTGGCATTGACTGGGTGATGTGAAACTTTTGTTATGGAAACACTGGCATTGACTGGGTGATGTGAAACTGTTGTCTTGGAAACACTGGCATTGACTGGGTGATGTGAAACTGTTGTCTTAGAAATACTGGCATTGACTGGGTGATGTGAAACTGTTGTCTTGGAAACAGTGGAATGGACTGGGTGATGTGAAACTGTTGTCTTGGAAACACTGGCATTGACTGGGTGATGTGAAACTGTTGTCTTGGAAACACTGGCATTGACTGTTCGATGTGAAACTGTTGTCTTGGAAACACTGGCATTGACTGGGTGATGTGAAACTGTTGTCTTGGAAACACTGGCATTGACTGGGCGATGTGAAACTGTTGTCTTGGAAACACTGGCATTGACTGGATGATGTGAAACTGTTGTCATGGAAACACTGGCATTGACTGGGTGATGTAAAACTGTTGTCTTGGAAACACTGGCATTGACTGGGTGATGTGAAACTGTTGTCTTGGAAACACTGTAATGGACTGGGTGATGTGAAACTGTTGTCTTGGAAACACTTGCATTGACTGGGTGATGTGAAACTGTTGTCTTGGAAACACTGGCATTGACTGGGTGATGTGAAACTGTTGTCTTTGAAACACTGACATTGACTGGGTGATGTGAAACTGTTGTCTTAGAAACATTGGAATGGACTGGGTGATGTGAAACTGTTGTCTTGGAAACACTGGCATTCACTGGGTGATGTGAAACTGTTGTCTTGGAAACACTGGCATTGACTGTTCGATGTGAAACTGTTGTCTTGGAAACACTGGCATTGACTGGGTGATGTGAAACTGTTGTCTTGGAAACACTGGCATTGACTGTTCGATGTGAAACTGTTGTCTTGTAAACACTGGCATTGACTGGGTGATGTGAAACTGTTGTCTTGGAAACACTGTAATGGACTGGGTGATGTGAAACTGTTGTCTTGGAAACACTTGCATTGACTGGGTGATGTGAAACTGTTGTCTTGGAAACACTGGCATTGACTGGGTGATGTGAAACTGTTGTCTTAGAAACATTGGAATGGACTGGGTGATGTGAAACTGTTGTCTTGGAAACACTGGCATTCACTGGGTGATGTGAAACTGTTGTCTTGGAAACACTGGCATTGACTGTTCGATGTGAAACTGTTGTCTTGGAAACACTGGCATTGACTGGGTGATGTGAAACTGTTGTCTTGGAAACACTGGCATTGACTGTTCGATGTGAAACTGTTGTCTTGTAAACACTGGCATTGACTGGGTGATGTGAAACTGTTGTCTTGGAAACACTGGCATTGACTGGGTGATGTAAAACTGTTGTCTTGGAAACACTGGCATTGACTGGGTGATGTGAAACTGTTGTCTTGGAAACACTGTAATGGACTGGGTGATGTGAAACTGTTGTCTTGGAAACACTTGCATTGACTGGGTGATGTGAAACTGTTGTCTTGGAAACACTGGCATTGACTGGGTGATGTGAAACTGTTGTCTTAGAAACATTGGAATGGACTGGGTGATGTGAAACTGTTGTCTTGGAAACACTGGCATTGACTGGGCGATGTGAAACTGTTGTCTTGGAAACACTAGCATTGACTGGGTGATGTGAAACTGTTGTCTTGGAAACACTGGCATTGACTGGGTGATGTGAAACTGTTGTCTTCGAAACACTGACATTGACTGGGTGATGTGAAACTGTTGTCTTCGAAACACTGACATTGACTGGGTGATTAAACAATGTTGTTTTGGAAACACTGGCATTGACTGGGTGATGTGAAACTGTTGTCTTAGAAACACTGGCATTGACTGGGAGATTAAACAATGTTGTGTTGGAAACACTGGCATTGACTGGGTGATTAAACAATGTTGTGTTGGAAACACCAGCATTGACTGTGTAGAGAAACACTCCGTTAGAAGATCACAATTTTGCTAGTGATATTTTTTCTGCTAAGTAAAAACAGCAGTGTCATGCAAAGAACAACAGATGATTTAGCAAATATAGCATCAAGGGTTGGACTACAAATAAGTTACGAAAAGACAAGTATAGTAAAGACACCAAAAACAGATCAAGCAGATGTAACACTAGAGAAAAAAGGAATTAAAGTAACAGATAATTTTAATTATTTAGGTAGTGATTTTGATAGTCAAAGGAAATTCAAAGAAAGAAATTATGGCCCGCACTAGCAAGGCATAAGCAGCTCTTTAAAGCCTGAAAAAATACAAAACTAATTTGTATAGTTTTAAAACCATGTTGCATGTTTTCAATTCTAATGTTTTTTCAGTCAATATTATAAGTTTAATCCCCATGTGAGGTGAAATTTTTAGTTTTTTTTTAGGCCCCATCCTGGGTTTTGCCGGGGGCCATAATTATTTCGGACCTTAAATATGGCCTAACGGATGAACGGGGTTCCTGGGACCTCTCCACGGGGGATCCTCATCTGCATGGAGGCACTTTGTGTCACCCATTGTTTATCGTTTGTGTGATGTCCTGGTGGGGTATAACTTACCTACCTACCTAATGTTATTTCAGTTTTAAAATATGCCAGCGAAAGTTGGAGAACCCCTGAAGACGAAAGATAAAAGCATTAAAAAACTAGTGCCTGAGGAAATACTGAACATAAAATGGGAAGAAATAAGAGAAATGTCTAGGCAGCCACTGGTGTTAACAGTTATAAGACAGAGAAGATGGTACAATATAGGATACATTCTGAGAAGAAGCCAGCAGAGAAATTACCATACAAGCATTAAAATGGGATTAAGGCAATGAGAATCCCCACCCCCCCCCCCCCCCCCCCCCCCCCCCCCCCCCCCCCCCCCCCCCCCCCCCGCCCCCCCCCCCCCCCCCACCCCCCCCCCCCCCCCCCCCCCCCCCCCCCCCCCCCCCCCCCCCCCCCCCCCATCCCCAAATTAAAACAAACATTGACGAGAGAGACCAAAGGGCTGAAATGGATTCCATCCATGATATTGAACTGATTGCACATGAAAGAACAGAATGGAGGGATAGAATCACATACGTCTGCACTACTGGATGGTGAACTGATACATGACAAGGCAGATGTGGTCAAGGCCCTTTGGGAACAAGCAATGGAATCAGTAGAGATAAAGATTATTATGTCCTGGAGAGAATGAGTCATCTGGGTGTAACCAGAGGGTCTGGCCGGCTCACTACACTCAGAGGAAAGGCAAGACGGACATACAACCAGATTATGACCGGTACCATCAGTATTGGAACTCTGCACTGGCTGCTGAAGATGGGGATGGAGCATGCATGGGAATGCCCCAATTGCTGTGATGTCAGTTCTTGACTCAACTCAACTCAAAAGGAGGGATAGACTACAAGCATTATGGGACACATAACAGTACAATGATGATGATGGTGAAACAGTAACACACACACATACACCTGCATGCAGGTCTGAACAAGTGTCCTTCATATGTTTTTATTATTAGGATTATGAATACATGTGTTGTAATTATTATTATTATTATTATCATTATGTATATCTTCTTCTTTTTCTTCGTGTTCACTGGCTGTAAACTCTGGCGGAATGTTCTGGTTAGTCATCCACCTCTGGACTTAAGTCTTTTTCCAGAAGCTGAGTGTTGCGTGCACATCCATTTTACAGATCTTACATATCTATATGAAGACTGTTGGTTCCTTGCCTCAGGCAGATGCACTCCAACTTCCAAGGATGCCCCTTACGACATCCTATTTGGGGAGGCAGGGGTCCTATTCTTGTTTCTCCCACAGTGGGTCCCCCAGAACCCACATGGGGAATCATGTATATAATATTGAATCACTGCTAATGTTTTAACAAATTAAGTCCTCCAGATAATAAAGATTCTGCTGTCATAATAGAAATATATCTGCCTGCAAACTGGCCTACTTGCAAATGAAACACTAGTTGTGCTTTCTGCCCTGAACTCATGGCTTCCCTTACCATTTCACTAATTGCCCGTTTCTGTCCTAAAGGTAAGCTGTACTAAAAATGTTTTTAGCCGAAATGTCCTCACGCACCACACACACACACACCTACCCACACTGACACACACACTGGCACTCACTCACACATTGACACCCACTCACACACACACACTCACTCACACACATTCACTCACTCTCACAAACACTGACTCACACAAACTCACACACACACACTGGCACTCACTCACACACACTCACTTACTATCACAGAAACCGACTCACACACACTGACTAACACACTGACACACACACTGGCACTCACTCACACACACTCACTCACTCTCACAGACACTCACTCCTCACACACACTGACTCACACACACTCACTCTCACAGACACTCACTCCTCACACACACTGACTCACACACACTCACTCTCACAGACACTCACACATATTCACTCACTATCACAGACACCGACTTAAAGA